GGGAAAGAGGGCTTCTTGATGAGGGGGAACGGGAAGATAGCTGCCGTGTTTATACGAGGAGGAGAGAAAAGCGCCGTCGCGTCGATATCCCCATTGATGAGATTGCTTCTGCATCTCTCGCACTCGTTTCGCCCTCGTTTCGCGTCTTCTCCTCGTCTTCGTAGCACGCGACGTACGCGAGAAAGATCTCGTGTGTGATTCATTCTGGTTTATTCCTCTGTCTCGCGAGAGAGAATCTCAACGATACGCGTCTTCCATCTCTCTCCTCTTCCTTTTTTTCATTCTCAACAAACCAAGAAGAATCTGCAGATATCGAGATCCCGTGAAACGGGCAATTTTCTTAAGCTTTAATCCTTAATCTTTGTCTTTGGGGGAGCACAATTCTTTATTATACGATTCGACACAGATGGATAGATTAAAACACTTTCGCTTAGGAAAAAATCGGTAAATTCACATTCATTTCCGGTCGAATCTCAACATCTCACGATAAATCTCGAAAATGTGACGGACGATTCCGTCATATTTTATAATATGAAAAGAAATTTTGTAACTCGTGGGAATTTGAAAAAAAAATTCATCTCTGTGTATAAAGCTTACGAAGCGAATCGATTGCAACGAAACAAAGTTACTACCAATTTTCGTATAACGAAAACATAAAGTCGATGACCCGGTAGGCATATCTCTCAATACATATATCTTTATATTATTTACATTATTTTAATCGCTATAAGATTCGTTTTAAAATGTCGATCGAGAATCGATTCGCCTTGTTATTCTATCTATAAAAATATTGCGGTAAGGTTATCGGAAAGTAAATATTTTGCGATATTTCGTATCTTGTGTCAAAATAATTTCGCACGAGAATAAATTAAACATATGAAATATCTCGCAAAGTATATATTCACTTTTCGAGATTATCTTGTCTTAATACTTTTTCACATGGAACTATCTAAATAAAAACCATTTTATGCAAAGACAAAACACACGACGACGAGAGATGAGGAAGAGTTGCCCCTCCGACAATATTCCGTTTGTTCTCTCTCCCCTAAAAAGAACCCGAACAAAGCTCGATCCCTAATATAATTTCCAAGAAAACAATTTCATTCAAGCTGGATCACTCTATATATTAATGCACAAGTGAAAACAATGATACAAATACTTTGCGCGGGAGGAGCAGTATCTCGCTTTTGTGCGTAAAATTACTTCAGATAAGATGAGAGAGAGAGAGACCCGAAAAAGTACCCGCTGTATTTATTTATCCATCTACGTTACGATCCATTATCGCGATAAAGACTGCGTACCAGAAATCTCTTCCGCGGGTAAGTCCTTTTTTTTCTATCATGGAAATATGTCAAGAAAATCGTTAATAAGCGCCTCCGCGTCTCGCGAAAATATCGCCAGAATTCTCGATTAATGAAGCACTCTCCGTTCGGATGCTGCGTTTGTTCTCATTCCCTCTCCCTGTCTCTCCTCGTATCGAGAAAGATGCACAATGAAACCCGCGTTGGGTCTCATCTCGCGTAATTCTATCTCGCACGATTCTGTAGTTCGAATTTTATTGTAATTACAAAAAACGAAATCTTTCTCGAAAGAAATGATCAACGAGATAATTTGTCAATTTACATGGCCGAAGTTTTTCGTCGGTTTATCGAGGTCAGCGAAACGTCGCTGAAGCTATCGCGCAACCTCATTACCGAATATGCCGAATAACCGTGCAAAGATAAACTCGGTTAAATTTTACATCAACGTGACGTCACTTTCGATTGTTCATTTATCTTTAAATAAATTCCCTACTCACTTCTTCTTTTGCAAACCATCATATATATTGTTGATTTTGTTATATTAACATAACAAACGGGAGAGATACTTACCTCCCTGCATTCCTCTTGTAAACATCCTCTTAATAATCGCAGTCTTGTCGGTGTAGGCGTCGACACTGGCGATGTTGCTGCATACGCGTCGAAATTCGCGAAAGGAGTCATCCTTCGACGAGATCTTTCCCCTTTCCTCTTTATCTTTCTCCTTGTCATCCGTTGTGGCCTCTTTCTTTTTCTTTTCCGCCGTTTTTCCCGAAGTACTACTCGAGGAAGGAACTGTTTTCCGCGGCGACGCAGTCTTTTTCGAAATCTTCGTAGGATCTAGAAAAAAAAATTGACTCATTACAGGTTGCGGTTTTTTAATATATATATAT